GGCTTTGCATTTGGTTCGTGGTCTGGGCTATGGCTATGGTGGTTCGGCTTCCCGATGGCGCGCTCTCTCCTTTTCAAATCCTCCGTCGGCCATGGTGAGATCAGCTGCGAGCTAGCTAGCTGTCGCGTGGTGTGTGCGTGAGAGCAAGAGATAGAGTGTGATTTCTTTCCAAGCTTCACTAGATCGCACTGGCTAATCTTCCCCCCAATCTCTCCCAACACGCGCCCGCGCACGACCCTTACTCTCTGCCCTTCCGCTGCTGGCCCGGGAATGTGAGAGCCCACTACAACTTAAACGCCGCCAACGCCCTCGTCGTGGGAACGACTTTGCACGACCTCAACACAGTCGAGGCAAGAACTCCCGCCGCCGCCGATGTGGAAAGCATTGGCAATGCCGACGAGGGTGATGGAGGTGGCGACGCTGCCGCCGATAGCCTGGACAACGAGGAGGAATCTCCATCTGAGGTAGTCTTTCGTTGGCTTTCTAGCTTTTGCAGTTCTTTGCTCATTTTCTCATCGACCAGGATTGCGTAGCACAAGAGTACGAGAATCTGCAACCGGTGGATGGAGTGGACGCGGTGGACGGAGTGGACACAGAGCAGCAAATCAATCTCGAGAACGATGAGAGCTCGACTCCTGCGTTTGGTGTTCTAACTTACAGTGGTCAGTGTTGATGTTTTACGTAGTTCCTTACTGTTTTTTCTTCTCCCTCGCTACAGACGTGGTCCCCATTGAAGCGGCCAGGGCTCGTTTCGTGCAGCTGATAATCGATCGCTTTATCCAGCCCCGTTCATATCCCGTGTCCGATTCCCCCGAAGGGAACTATAGCAATCCAAACTCGAAGGAGAAAGAGAGCAAACGCAAGCCGAGTGAGGTGCACTACGAGGGGGACCCCAGGTTCCTCCTGCCTTTGACGTTCGTCGCCAACTTATACGAGACGCTCATCTCGGAGATCGATGCGAGGCTGCACACCGTCGAGGGTGTCCACGAGAAGACGATGGGAGTTGCTCTTGAGGCCTCTGGAGGGCTATATAGAAAGCTGGTGAAAAAGTTTCCAAAGTCCGGTTGGTATTTCTTTCTTTCCTCTCTCATTTTCTCTGCTGACGTTTCTTTGCATTCTCTTGTGTCCACTGCAGGCCATCCGGTGTCTTTCAAGAGACGGGAGATGGCATCCGCGTTAGAAGCCAAAACAAAGTTCCCTCAGCTCGTTAGAGGAGACGAAAAGCGTGTAAGGTTCGTCGTTGTTCACGGCCTGGAGCTGATTGAGCGTCCGGAGATGCCACAAGAGGATGCTGAGTGGTACCCCTTTAGTTTTCTCAAAACTGGCTAGAAAACCATGACTTTCTCTCGCTTCCAGGTTTAAGAGACTCACTGGAAGACAAGAAGCCGCAGTTACCGGAAGTGACTACAACTTCTATTCGGCCAGAGTTAAACACCGCCGGCTTACTGTTCGTGATCCACCACCCGTGCCAGTAAGCTTATAGCTGCCTTTGAGAGGTGTCTTTGAAAACTAACTGGTGGTTTGCTAGCAGCAGTATCAGGCCGGGGAGTCTCCCAGTGTCATAACACCACACTCCCCGGTATTGAAAGCTTTTCTTCCATTTTTCTCCATGATTCTAACAAATTCACAGACTCGTGATCACCCGCAGATCCAGATGCAGCAGTCCCGTGTTCGTCACCAGGTGCAGCAGCCATCACAAACACACACCCCGCGCACTCCTCCCCATGTATCACGCGATATACAGTCTGGGATTCATCCTGGAATGACCGTGATGGTTCCGGTCAGTTCCGTCGTTTCTTCTTGCTGCCTCACCATCTGGTTTACTCGTTTTTGTAGCCTCCGAGCCCCGCAAAATTCTGCGACCAGTGTGGAGCTCCCTTCTTGAGGGAAACATCCAGGTTCTGCACAGATTGTGGGAACAAGCGACATGGTGTGCCATGAAAACTCTGTACGTAATACACAGCCTTCTTTCCTTGTGATTGTTGTGTATCTTTAATTCTTTCCTTGTGATTGTCTTTTATTCTAACAAGATGATTGTTAACTTTACACGGTGAAGACCTTGACAACCTGTTGGATGGAAGTCCTACACACAGGACATCCCCAAGTTTTCTCCTTGATCTCCATCAGGCAATTCATGCAGCCGGCGAGGTGGCCGCAAGGGATGCACACGCCTCTCGCGGGTGCGTCCCAGCAAACCACGCACTGCCCGCTCGCTTTTTCATCGCCAGTTCCTCCTGTTCCTGCTCTTGCCACTACCTTTTGATGCTCCGGATTCACTGCCTTCTTCTTGATGCCAAACAGCGAGAATCCAGACGGAGAAGCACCCTGCCGAGCCTCGGATTGGGTCGTAAGTTGGCGATGACTGCAAACTGGAGGTGGTGGCGGCGGCGGTGGACCGGAGGGCACGAAGATCTCCACGGGGACGTTGGAGCACCCAGGTGGTGCTGCTGGAGCCGAGGGATCTTTCACTGGAACGTTTCGGACTGGTGGCTTTGTGGCCACGGGCCTCGTTTGCCAGAAGCTCTCAACTCTAGTCCGCTGCTCGTAAGGTGGCGGTGGTGGCGATGGCGATTGCTGGAGCGGAAGTGATGTCGCTCGGCTCGGCCCGGCCTCCGGAGACCCCCAGCACGAGCTGTTGCTGGTGCTGTTGCTGTTGTCCGAGTCTAGTGACCATCTGTTCCTGCTCAGCGGCCCCCGTCGCTTGGCCGCCTTTGGAGGACTACTCAAAGATGGCCAGCACTCGTCGACGACGCTGGATGATGTTGGCGAGAGAATCAGGCCCTCCGCGTTGGCGGACTGTATCGAGGCGTTGATAGCCATTGCCAGTGCTACGTCTTCTGGGATCTCTGTTTTGCTGTGAGGTGGAGAGGATACCTTGCGTACTGGCGGGCACACGACTACCTGCTGTGGAGGAGGGGCAGTGACCGTCCGTGGTGGTGCCGGCCCGACAATCGTAATTGGCGGACCCCGTGACCGCGTCGGAGAAACGGACTCTTGGGGACTTGAAGTAGCACTCTGCTAGAAAAAAAAACAAAAACGAAAAATGTGAGCACAGTTACAAGGAGACAGCCTTGACTATACCTGTTGGTATGGTATGCCTTTACAGGCCCTGTGAAACTTCTCCAACTGTGGTTTGCGGCCTTCAAATTCTGACAGAAACTTGAACCTCGTTTCTGCCCGGCACACACATGCTGCGTTACTTAAACAAGCGAGGCTGGTCACTTACTTGACGATCTGTCTGTAAGAATCATCACGGGATCCGCAAGGCTGAAGTTGGGTTCCTCGATCTGGACTTTCGACAAAGCAATTATTATCCTTGGTAGCGACACCTAAACAAAAGCACAAGCTGGTTGGTGTCTTAGTCCAGCTACGACAAAAGAGAAACCTTTGGTGACTGGTAAATAACAAGCTCGTATCTCGGAAGCCTTCTAGCTTGCGCTGACGGCATCACAACAGCCCATCTGCATACGAGAAGAAACATCAGTTCAGTTCAACATGAAGTTAACGCTTACACTTTTCTGGTCACCCATTGAGGTGCTAACGCTTCAAGAAATCCAGGGCCGGATATCTCTCTCAACACTCCACTGAAAAGGCACATCCTGTCCTGGAGATAACGTTTGAGATGAGAAACCAGCACATCACATCCAAAACATTGCTTTTCTTTCTTTTGCTCTCTGTTTACACGCACCTCAATGATTCGTACGACCGAGACATGGCCTCGGCTACGTGCCATATCAAGAGGTGTCTGGCCATCGTCATTCACAGCCAATGGATCAGCTGCACACACAAGAGACAATCGCTACTTAGAATGAAAGTACTCGAGCTTATACCAAACGTTTAGCTAACCTCCACGAGACAAAAGCAAGATCACCGTTTTGTCCAGCCCTCGCTTGGCCGCATGATGCAATGGAAATCCACCGTGAGAGCCTACAGAACACACGACAATCGTGCGTAAAACAACAAGGAGTAAACTACAATCCAATTGCCAGCCAGATCTCGTAACGAACAAAGTTGCCAACTGAAAAACCATAGAACAAAAGCACTAAAGTTACCTGGTCTGAAAGCTTTGATGCTGGCACCCAGATTCAACAAAGTTATGACCATGTCGAAGAGCTCGCTTCTGGTGCAAGCCAGGATGAGAGGAGTCCGACCGTCCTTATCGGTCCACTGCGTAGAAACCACAGAAAGAATTAGCAAAGAAGAAAGGAAATCCGATAGAAGGAAAAGCTTTGCTTACCTCCAAAGATGTTCCATCTCGCCGGAGAGTCTTCACAGCAGTGTGATTTGCATGCTGAACCGCTTGATAGAGTTGCTCTTCCTTAGACTGGCCTCCACCCATTCTTTCTCCCTTTCTACTTCGTCGCTACAACCAGCTTGCCATCTCTCTCGCAAACATCGCTAAGAGTGGAAAAAAATCAAAAAAACTACAAGAAAACGCTCTTTCCCACCAACGCTAGACCGAATCATCTGCCTCGCGCCATCGATTCCTCCCAAACCCGGCCACATTCCCTCGAAATGCCTCCCCCACCGCCGCGACGCGCCCCTCCCGCGCCCCAATTCGCGAAATTCCCATGGCCGCCGCGCCGAATCCCTCAAATCCACACCGCATTGCCGCGATGATCAAATGTGCCGCTCCCTGCCATGGATCTGGCGCCCGGACTCGCCATGGCGAGAGGAGATCTCACGCTACCGATCCCCTAAACGCGACAAGCGTTCTCATTAAACAGTCCACTGCCTCGTCCTCCATAGCCTTCTCTCTTCTCTCTCTTCCCTGTCTCTACCGGACCTCCAGCGAAGCCTTGAGACGAGCCTAGTCACGCACGCCGAACCTCTTCCTCTTCCCAAACTGCTAGCCACGCTGGCACTTTCCGCCACGGTGGCCGGTGCTCCTGCGCACTAGTCACTACCCGACACGTGGTTGCGTTGTAGGTTATGACTGTCAGTTACTTCCTTATTACCTCCCTAGCCGATCTGGGCCGTTGAGCAGCCGACGCACGCGATACGTACACGTTTACTCCCGTTTTTATTACTGGGAAAAAAAAATTCTCTCCATCTCTTTTATCAAACGCTACACTCTAGTGATGTATGTCCCAACGAAGAACTTCTGGAAAAAACGAGATCGTCAAGACTTCCATTCATGGAGAGCACTGACAAGCTAGAAAAAATAAGATTAAAGAGACTTACTTGGCCAGTTTTTTCAATGCCGCATTGGAAAGAGGTGGTCGATCATCGCAGCTCAGCGCATTGCGTTTGGCACAGTCCAGCCTATTAATGTTGGGGACTTTAAAAATCTGTCTCTCTGCGTTTCTCCTTTTATCTACTGTACACTGGCCCTGTCGTCTTGTCTATGACGATATAGCTTCGCTATCGTCTTTCGTTCGCAGTCCTGTGGATGAGGGAAGCAAACAATAAAGAAAAAGTTTGGAAAACAAGGATCCGATGCGTGAAGTTACGTACCTTGAACATCGCAAATCGGAAGCGAGTGCCAATGTTTGTGCGAACCAACTTCATGTAAGTATACGCGAAGCTGAGCTGATCTCTCGGGGTGAAACGGTCTACCTCGTTGAACCACAGGCAGGAAAAAAGGTTGGACATTGGCGTGTGTGAACGAACGATTATCGAGCCCTCTGGAACGTCTGGAGAGAAGAAAAAAGCCAATGAGTACGCTGGTTGTAGCTGATCAGTATATGTCTTACTGCTTGGTAGGAGGCGCTTGGGATCTGAAGCATTGAATCTCGTGAGGCCGTCCTGTTGATAGAATAGAAACTGCTCGTCGATCAAGGAGTGATTGAACTTGTTGAGCCTCTTGTTCTGCTGTACTTCGTCCCAGACACAGTGACGATCATAGTGGTTTGAGATTGTATACTCGTGATTTCCACGCCAGAGAAAGTATTCCAGAATAGACAACGGATTGACCTGTAGCCTTAGCTTGCTGTCCAGCCAAATGGAATATCTGAAACAAAAGAAAGCTGCATCACCGCAGGAAAAAGAAGTGTTTCATACCTCGCGAATGGAAATAGGCGATGCGAAAGAAGCTTGGGAATTTTTCCAACCCGACGAAAATCTGCATACGGCAGATTTGAAACTAGTACTACCCGCCAGATGCCAACGAATCCGTTCTCATCAGGAACTTGACCTTCTTCAAGCATCACATCCAGGCTTAATTGATCCACGAACAAAACAAAACATACTTCTTTCTTCAACGGGCTAGAGACCTGGAAACAGAAAGAAAACTCAGTTCATGGAGCGAGCGGTTTAGGAAACAAACTTACATACCTTTCGTTTTCTAGGCGAATGGAGCTTATCAGATTTGCCAAAGATGCAGGATGACACGGCAACCCGACAACCCGCCAAGTACTCTGTATCCTTATCACTGAGGTCAAAACCAGCGCTCTCGGATGGATCGGGCCCTCGGACGAAACCACAGTGTATAGTCTTGTTCGCCACACGGAACGAGTCCTCCCTTTCTTCTAAGGTTTGATGACCGGCAAATCTTGGTGTCCAAGAGCTGTCGTTAAGCGGCATTTCTTCCTTCGAAACATACTTCAGATCGAAGCGAGCGAATTTTAAGCTGTTGTCTGGTTCATGGACGTTGCTCAAGTTTGCAAAGTTTATCTCGCATGCTGGAATACACCCAAACGAAGCAGGTGAGAATCATAAATCTCGGAAACGCACGCAAAGTCTAGCTAAGTCCTGCAGCAGTCACCTTCTCCCTTGACTTTACAAACGCTCATGTACCTCATCACTAAGCAACGTAAACCCAACCCAGTTCCTCCGCTCTTCTAAGGAATTAGAAACGTACCTCCTCGGTGCTTTCGGGGTGGCCTTAAATGCTTCTGTTCTGATGTTACGGTTTCTTGAACTGCTGGCATACTTTTCCCTGCCCGCCTTACGACCATTGCCTCACTTTCTTCGTATTCATCTTCCATGTCGTCAAAATCCCTATCAGCCTCTGTTGCATTCGATTCTCGAAGGAGATCGTCCTCGTACTGCTTCTCGTATTTCCTAAGCTCTTTCCGCCCTCTTTCATACGATAAACCCGGAACTTTCGAAAAGCTGTCCTCCGCAGCCGACCCGGAACTGTTACTTGAAAGAATCTTGTCATTAAGCTCGGCCTGATTTTCCTGCACTTGGTTCCGCTGCAGCTCCTTTTGAAGCCTCGCATACTCTTCCTCAAAGCTCCCTTCTATATCCCTGTTCCTGTCATCGGTATCCCAGTCCCTGGAGTCCCTGTCGCCTTCTCGACCACGAATAGCTTGACCAAAGTGTAACCCGGGCTCGACTTTCCGTGTTTGTCCTCTAGTTACTGATCAACCAAGACACCAAACACGAAAGACTCTTAAGACCTTTCATTCCTAAATCAAACAGGAGGCTCAAGAATGCTTACCTCGATGGTGCTTGAGACCGTGCTTCCGGATCTCTGCAAAAGTATCCTAAAAGCCACAAGGGAGCAAATAAGAAACTAGAAAACAACAGACAGGAAGCATACCGGGTGATTGAAAAAATCGTCCTTAGTCCCCAAGTCCCCTACAAAGAAATCGCTCAATGTCGCCACACAAAGACTAGAGCTCCACTTACCAGGAACAACGACCAAAGCCCGCCCGATGAAATCACTCCCCAGCAGCGTGAATCCCACCACTCCCAGCAAAATCGCCAAGTAGAGACCCGCGGAGCACTGCCTGCCCTTGCGTGGCGCCTTCTTTACCCGGCCCCTGCTACCATTGCTTTCCACATCACTGTCGTGGCCCCGGGCCGACGATCTGGCAGGCGCATTGGACTTGTGATCCCCGTTCACCATCGGGGCGCCGCTGCCTTGGCGAAAAGCCATGCATCACAGCCGCGATCCGGCCCCTGATCTTCGGATTCTACTCCTCCATCGCCGCCGCCGCCGGAGATCCAAGGCGGATGCGAGGGGGGAGGGGGAGAGGCACGCGCGTTCACCTGGAGAAGATCCACATCGCGTCCGCGAGGAGAGCGCTTCCAAAAACCCTACTCGCTCGCTCTCTCGTCTCCTCTCGACCAATTAAATTGGTGCTTGGGTTAAAAATATAAAATAAGATTTCGCCGCGGTGGAAAGAATTATATCCAGTTAGTTTTTACCCTTTGCTGCGTTAGGAAGACAAGAGAACAAACAGAACTCTTGAAGAACTTCCTCGTTATAGTTTCAGACTTTAACAGCGGCGAGATCATTTAAAACAAGCTTGGAGCTAGCAGCGAACTTCTCCAACGAAAAAACCCCAAAGATCTTTGCTGGAACTGTGTGATCAAACATGACACTGATCGAGCGAACTTCTCCAACGAAAAAACCCCAAAGATCTTTGCTGGACCTGTGTGATCAAACATGACACTGATCGAGATTTCTCTGGTTTTCGCTTCAGCATTTAAAGAAGCCTCTGAATGATCTGAAAAGCTTTACGAGAGCACAGACTGGCGAACCTGAATGAGAGTGGCCTTTTGCGAATGATGATCATAGCAGCAGCGGCATAAGGCAAAGGATTAGCTTTACGAGAGAAAAGAGAGAAGAAACTTTACCTTTTCATCGGATTGTCAGCAGCTGCTGGAACACGATCAAAACGAATTAAAATAAGCCAGACTTTCACATGGTTAGCCAGTGCTACACAGCTAATAAACAGCAAAAAAGGAAAAAAAGAAAGAAAAAAACTACTAGCCACAGGAAAAAACTGCAAAGCTTAAGAACAAGGAAAACGCTCAATAAGAGAGTTAGCTTGCAAAGCACAAACGAAAGATACAAAAGCATGGAAAACCAAAGACGAAAAGGAAGAACAGCAGGAAAACTATCTGCCAATCGCAGACCCAAAACTGACCAAGTAGCAGCACAATTGTAATGTACACGGTGGTCGAGACTCTCCCAAGCTTTCACCGCCCTCCGCCAAAGTTGTCATATCCTTGATTCCTGTAGTCGCTGTAGCCACCACCACCGGCACCACCTCCTCCTCCTCCTCCATAGCCACCACTTCCGTAGCTTCGACCACCATAGCCTCCGCTGGCCTGCGGACATTGACGAGCAATGTGCCCCTCCTCGTTGCAGTTGTAGCATTTGCCGCCCCCTCCGCCGCCGCTGCGACCACCAAAACCTCCGCCATAGTTCGAGCCGCCGCCACCACCACCAGCAGCACCACCACGGACATTGTTGGGACACTCGCGAGAGAAATGACCAACCTGGAGAGTAACAAAATCATCAAAAAAAGAAACCAAACATTTTTCTTTTCTGGAAAAAAAGCACAAGCACAGCAGGAACCAAACAAAAAACTGAATAAACAATCGCGGCTTGGAAAAGTCAATGAAAACAAACAAGGCCAGAAAGACGAGAACTTACCTCTCCACACGAGTAGCATTGAGATTGGCTGCTCCTCCCTTTCGAGCCGCCCCATGCATCACCATACGCGCTGGCTCCTCCTCGATCACTTTCACGCGGTCGTCCTCTACTGAAGCTTCCATACTCTTGAGTCTCCGCGTAAGGCTGCTGCTCGCGGCCACGACCACCCCTGCTGAAGTTCCCATACTCCGGGTTCTCGAGAGGTTCTTCTCTCCTTCTCGGGGCAGAAGACCTCACATTCACGTTTTGCTGCATCAAAGAATGAGAACCGAAAGAGAGAAGAAAAATCAAAACTCAAAACGTCACCTCAAAACTCGCTAGCAGCTCGTCGAGCTTCTTCTCTTTAAGAGCGATGTCCTCTTGGATCTCTTTCACCTTCAAAGGATCCACAGCCTTCTCCAGATCGCCTCGAGCATAGGCGAGCTCCGCCTCGGCGGCCTTCTTCTCTTCATACTGCGCCTCCGTGAGTTTAGCCTGGAAGAACATAAACACAAAAGGAAAGGCGATCCTCAAGCCGAAAACTTTTTAACATACATTGGGCTTCCAGTCGCGCTGTGCCTGCTCCTTCAAGATCTCGGTCTCTTTCTTCCCCAGGCGCTCGGCAATCACTTGCTCTCGCGGCCGCGCGGCTCCAAACGGATTTGGCTGACAAGAGGAGGCGAATCAATCGGCGCGAAAGAGAGAGAGAGACGCGAGAGGAGGATTACCTTAGAAGACCTAAGCGGCGCCTCTGATTTCTCTCCCTGGCTCATAGTTGCGCGATCGAGAACCCTGATCCCGGAAGAAAACCCCAGCTTCTATAAACCCTAGTCAAACGCCGTGCTTCAAGTAAATATTCTAAAAAACGCGATACTTATGCTGACAAGATAGAAAAATGGATGTCAGCGTTTGATCATCGTCCAGAACGACGAGTAGTACAAATGCTGGAGAAAAAAAACCAAGTAAGAAAAAAACCTCAAGCGATAACCAAAATCACTCTTTTGATTGAGGGATAGAATGAAACCCACCTGACTCATCGAAGTTGGGCACGAAGCGTATGTATTTTGCACTGTGGATTCCTTCTGCTCGAGGAAAAAAGAGGACATGGATCAAATCGATGAGAAAGTACTGGAGACTTTTACCTTCAGCTCGAATCCATAGCTAAAAGCTACTGTTTTCACGTCCTCCAAGCTCAGCTCTATGGAGATTTCCTAGAAAACGAGGAACATTGCTGATAGAAGAAACGAAAAAATTATAGAGGGCTTACGTCGTGGGAGGAGAATTCGTGAGCATCAGCGAAGTGGTAGAGAAGGGGCCCCAGATTGATCCACACCTGGCACGAAGAAAACTCCACTAACGTCTTAGATATCAAATCAAACAAACATCAACATCGATGCTTACACCACCGGGCTTGAGAACTTTGTGAATCACTTCTATGTAGTCCACGACGTTGTGCGCCGTGTCGATGAAGAAGCAAGTCACCACAGCATCCCAGGCACCTGTAAAACAAAAAAAAAAAAAACGAAAAAGTTTGAGAAAGAAACGATTGTTTTTGGTTTTTTCCTTGAAAGAAAGGCTAACCTGTTTGGCTCTCGTGGCCATAAACCTCCAGAAAATCACCGGCACACATCGAAAAGCCTTCAGTAATTCCTGCACTGTTATCTGAATATCCATGAGCTGAACTGTAAGATCGCTGCTGGAACTAGAAAACCTTCCAGGGTGAACATCAGGAAAGCGTACAGATTCGAGCTGATCCTTGTCCGAAAGTTTGTTGCAGTTGCTGTGTATCCACGGGTGCATCTCAAATTCGTTCGGCTCGACAGTCCTGCATTGCACACTTTTAATCTTCGCTCTACAGAAAATGAAATCGCTTACTGGTTAAGGATAAAACTCGAGCAAATGAGCACGTAGTATGAAAACTCATTCCCTTGGCACACGAACCCTGAAAAACACCATGTAGAAACCATCAAACCTTGATAGTATAGATTAGATTACCTAGTCGTGATATCTCCAAGGCTAGTCGTCCCAGTCCCGCTCCAGGAACTAAGCAGCTTGGTCTCCTGCGAGATTTTCAAGAGTGAATCAAGAGATTTTGCGAGTAAATAAACGTACGCCTCGGGATCAATATTTGGAAACCATGACTGCAGCTCTTGTAGCAGCGGCGAATAGCACTTGTCACGCTCAGCAGCTCCCTGTGAAGAAAACTAATCAGGAAAAGAAGAACACTAGACAAACTCGAAAACCTCTACCTCTTTTGTCCAGTCTCTTACAATGTTTCGAAGAACGCAACGGACCTACACAAGTACAGAGGATAGTTGCAAGAATGAGAAACTCCAAAGGCCCACGAACCTTATCAACATCTGACGGTCTGACGTGCAAGTGTTGGTCGGCATTGTCCTCAAAATGAAAACCACCGGTTGAATTTGGCATTTCTCGAGATCCGAAATGGAAGTCATCCATCTTAAGAACATAAAGCAAACTCTCCAGAGCTTGAACAAAAGAAGAAAAAAACAAAAGCATACCTCGTGCGAGCCTTGCACCTCGACTGCAGACTTTGTTCCCTCGTTTTCGACTGCTAGTCTCTTGTTACTAACGCTCGTTTCGCTGCGACAATCTTTCCAACCGTTCGCATTCTCGTGGTCTTTCTTGTGATTCTTGCAACCAGCAGTCGTAACGTCCTCGTTCCCAGCATCGGAAACATGCTCAAACTGTTGTTCGTCGTCGCTCATTTCGAAAGGAGGCTCAAAGTACTGCGAGAGGAAAGAGCTTCTTTCATCACAATAAGAGAAGAAATAAAACGAGTACCCGAAGCATTGTGGATATGAGATGGAAATTCCTTGAAATACACCTGATAGATAGAAAGATGGAACACAAATCGTTTTTTTCTCAACAAGAAGAGTACCTCCTCACTTCGGCATATTTCTTTGGCAGATGACTTAGAAGCTCCTACAAAAGAAAAAGCGAAGAAGAAGAAACTCAATGGCTCTCTCCAAATTCTCAAACCTTTTGCCTCGACGGTAGTCGCGAGTACGATCGCTCCCATCGTCTCACATCATCCTCTGCGGAGCTCGCATAGCTGGAATCATCCAAAACCAAAAATCGGAGAAGGAAGAATCAGTGCCAGTTTTGGGAGGAAGAGATCCTCGACTCACTTGAGATAGGTGGCAATGACTCTCCGGAGCGCCTTCATCTCCAACGCCCCGTCAATCTTGTCCGGCTCCATGCTCTCCCGCTCCATGCCGCTGGCAATAAATAGGGTTTATACAAACGCCACTGCGAGGATAAAGAAAATTCGTGGAGTATTTAAATCGTTGCCTTTAACGAGAATTTATAGGAGTCTTTCCTTCTCAAAACGTTACTAACTTGGAAGCATTGGAGCCGAGTGTCGCTGAGAAGCACCGAAAGGGAAAAGGACTGTGGCGAGAAGCATTCCAGTCTCCACTGCGCTTGAGTGAGATTGTCGGAGTATCAAGCTTCGCAGCTGGTTGATGGCAAGATCGACATTGGTCGTGAAGATCTACTTGCGGTGGAAATCGAATGCTTCTCGGAGATGATTCGGAATGTAGAAAACTCCATGCAGGCAAAAGTTGAAGTAGCACCGTTGTTCGGAATGTTTGTCGGTGTTGTCGAGAGATTTTGCACGAGAAGATCTTCACCTGTAATACAGGATGTGAGTGAACTGTCTAACATCAGTGCAGTAGCAAGCTTACCTCGCTGTTTGCCAGAATCTCACGGTACGATCACTTCCGCATGTTACAAAGCAAGCTTCACTTGGAGAATGCTCGATACAGCGAAGGGCACCGGCGTGATTCGAATTGAGACGACTCATGAGGTCACCAGTAAGAGCATCCCACACGACAACCTGAAAAGATAAAAGTGGTGAGCATGATTGTTTATGGAGCTCATCTAGAATACCTCGCCTTTCGGTTCGTCGCTGGACAAAACGAATTCTTCGTTGTGAGTGAAGACCGCCTGAAAGCAGCACAACGATCATGCAAGTCCAGAGGCATCACTTCGAAAAACCTGGCATCTCGTCTGAGAGTGTTGGCTGCCAATGTAACGCTTGACTTGCCTACCGCTGCCTACATCCCACAGTACTACTGCAAGGTCTTTGCCGCACGAAAGCACGTATCTGCAACACAAACCATCGAAAAGCTTAGGGACCAGCAGCAGTAGTCTATCACCACCTTTGATCTCTTGTAAAAACGGCACTTGTGGCTTCAGCTGAAACATGAGCACCTTGAATCGCCCTGACACACCGAGCAGTTTTTCCATCCCAGAAGCGAACACCGCCATCTTTGCTTGCTGTAACATAAAGACCTCCGTTCTCCGAGAATCTTACCTGCGGTTGAACTTGTCCATCAATCTCACAAAATATTAAGCATAAAGCGCACCTGGTTGATAGCACTACCAACATGCTTCTCTTGAAGGGAGGCTGATACATAGCACTGAAGCGTGTTTGAGTCATAGAGATGAGGTATTGGATGGTCCGTTCCTGGCAAAAACATTAGCGTGAATTTATAACTTCCCATCGAATGCTTACCAGCAAGCAAAAAATCCCCGCATGGATGAAAGCAAACTGATCGCACGTTGTGTGTGTCCTGAAAAGCAAAGCCAAAGCGTTAGACCTCGATCATTTCCAAGTTCCACAAAAACCAGCATACTTGAATCGCTTTGACGGCTCGGCGAGCAGAAGTTTTTGCGAAATCAAAAAACCTGTAGTCATCTTACATCAGAGAAGTTTCAAAAGGCTAATTCGCTTTACTTGATAGTGCGGTCCTTAGCACCAGAAACAAGAATATGAGCTTGAGGATGGAAGTCCAGATCGTTGATAGGCTGCGTCGAAAGCCTCAAGTAAGCAAGAACAAAATCGAAAGAAGACTTGCATGTATATGATCGAAAAACGTCCTGATGGCCGGCCTGATCGATCCTACATCTGGGAGCATCATTTGCTGTATCTTTTCAACCTTCAAGAACAAGAAAAACAAAGGAAGATATCAGCCAAAAGAAGAAGAAAGATGAACACTAGAAAGACTTAACGTACTTCAAACAGCTTGATCGATGCGTCGGCTCCTCCTGTTGCGACGAGCCGGCCATCCGGGCTGAATCGAGCACACCGTGCGGCATTCTGAAACAAAGAAAAGAGACAAAGAAAAAGTTAGCGTGAAAACTTTCTTTCACGCGAACAAAGTAGTGCGCTACCTTATGCTCCGATATTTGCTGGGAGACAAGCTTTGGGAAGAACTTGGACGCGCGTTTGCCTGTTTGTAACGAGCTGCCAAAGAGTAGCACAATGCTAGATCGAAAAAGAGAGAAAGTACTTGAAATCGGTGAGTCTCGATGGTAGGACTGGAAGAGGGCCATATCCGATAGAACTCGTCCCAGCGTCGATGGAAGCTGATCCCCTCGCTGGAGCGCTACTCTCGACGGCAAGTCCCTGCTTACAGAGTAAAAAACGTTAGAAGAATTCGCGAGAATCGTCTGAAAGAATGGAAGGTAGAAGAATTCGCGACCTTCTGGACAAGCTCCAGTAATTTGTTTGGAGGAAGCTCGATGTTAAGAGGGATCATGGTCGCATTTGCGACCGCAGTGGCTGCCTGGAACGAAGAATCATGGAGAATTTCCAGGCGCTCGCAAGGACGAGGATCGATTACCTGGTTGAGATTGTTGTCCCGGAGATACGAGACAATGAGCGCCATCACATGCCGCTGGAGGAGCCCCTCCTGGAGAAGCCGCGATTGATCTACTATACCCATTGCAAAGCTCAAGAACCCTAAAAGGGTTTGAAAAAAAGGAGGACAAGAATGGCAAAGGACGATGGGGCGAAGCAGGCTAAGGGTCGTAAGCGCCGCGGCCCGGCTCCCTCCACGGCGAGGAATCTCCGATCGTGCACGAGCAACGCCAAGGCGACATTGTCGGATGGCGAAGCCAAAGCCCCGGGATCGAGCGAGGATATGGTGGTGAGCTTGGAAGAGATCGAGAATGTGGTTGTGGCTGTGAGCGAGGACGGTACTGCGCCCATCACTCCTTCTACTCCCGCTCCACAGGAAGAGGAGGAAAGCCTCGACGACAACTGGAAAGAGGTTCGTGACGATTCTTTTGTTTGGTCTATTCGCTTGGATCGTGCTAGGATTTTTTCTCCTTCTTTGCTTCTACTCTCCTGGTTCGAGTGCTATGATCTTTGGTTTGCTCGTTTTGATGGATCGTGCTACATTTGCGAAGAAGTTTTTTCTTCGTTTGAGTGCTATGATCTTTGATCTATTCTTTCTCTTGTTTCTGGTTCTACCTATGCTGCTTTCTCTGTGCTTGTGTGATCTATTCCGTGTTTCTTCGTTCCGCTAGAGTTTCTTCCATGTCCTTTATCACAGTTTCTTCTTCTTCTTCTTTCTTTCTCTTTTTGTGTAGAAGCCATAGCCATCGTGGTTTATATCCCACTTTCTTTTTCACAGGTTACGAGGGCCGTATGCTACGAAATGGACGCCGACTTCTCTCACGGCGACGGGCTTCCGGAGATGGAAACCATCGAAGGTAATGGTTTGTTTCCTTCATTTTCATCCAACCAACGAAGGACTTTCACAGCGCCTCCAAAGGAGCCGATCACCGTCCCGGACGATCTCGACGAGGGGCTCAAGCTGCTGGTGAGCAAGAACAGGATGAGGAAGACTGAGGTCTTCAAGCTCAAGCTCGCAATATACCAGCTCTACTCGAAAGTGGGAATTCTGGAAGCAGCCAACGCGGCAGAAGTTGCACAGAGGGAGGAGCTCGACAAGTCCAAGGAACACGCGAGCAAGCTCCAGCAGGAGCTTAACGAGGCCGTGGAGGAGCTCAAGAGGGCGAAGGAAGACAACGCCGGGCTCAAAGCTCGGGTGGAGGAGCTGACTCGCGCCATCGACGCGGATCAGGACGAGGAGAAGGCGAGGAAAGCCGAGAAGCTCGAGAAGGAGATCGAGAGCCTCAAGTCGCAGATCAAGCAAAAGAATGGAGTCATCGCGCTGCTGCGAAACAGCTACGGCGATCCACGAGCCAGTCTTGCCGCGAGGCAGTTTATGACACCATAGCTGCAAAGTAGCCCAAGTTAAGCATGGCACCATAGCTGCGAAGCAACCATAGCATACCAAGTAAGCTCTAGTGAAGATCTTTGTGTAGCTAACTCTTCGTCCTCTATACAGCATAGTAACTTAGCAGCAGCAAGGAAAAGAAAGGAGAAAGTTTTGGAAAGCTCTCTCACTCTCTTGACTACTTTTATTCGTTCGTGTTCCAGACGAAGATCTCGAACAGGATGTGGAGAAAAGCGAGAAGAAGCTCAAGGTGGTGGTGGCAAAACAAAGGAGGTTCTCGTCTCTCTCTCTCTCTCTTTCTCTCTCTCTCAATCTCTTTCTTTCTCTAGAGAGAATTTTTAACGGCGTCGATCTCTGCGATTGTTGTTGGTGTTGTTGGCAAACTGTGCTCGGTCTCGGACTCTAAGCGGGGATCGAGATCGCGGAGCACCTCTCGGGCCGTATCGAGCAAACGTAAGTCGCAAAACGTACGAATCGGGATCATTCTCATCAAACTTATAACCTGCAAGGCCCGCGCACGGTTTTTAAGTTCTGGGAAAGCTCTCAAGGTTGGTTCTTTAGACCATGATCGTTCCTTTCCTCTGTTTACTCATTCTCATTCTTTTCTCTTTCTCTTCTTTTTTAACGTTTCGTTTAGGAAAAGTTCGAAGAATGCCAAGCCAGTCCCTTGGCAAAATGATAGTACAAGCTGGAAAAGTGTGAGTTTCCCAGGAGCTACAACTCCCAGGCCCGTCCCAGGGACTTAAAGAAACACCAGCAGGGAGGAGCATGATCATGGTGACCCAAAGCAGGAAGCAAAACGTAAAAGGAAAGAAGAACGCGAGCACTCTACCTTGCAAGGCTTCCAAGGCCGTGGCCGCGCACTTGGCATCCATGAACTCCACGAAGCACAAGACCAGCTTCTCCCCGGTTGCCTGCGCAGCAAAAAACTTTCGATAAAAACTTTGACGAAACTTTCGAGAACAAGGAAGATCTTACTCTCTTTGCGTCCTTGTGAACAAGCCGAACTTCTTTGAAACCGATGAATGGCCGGAAGATATCTGAGACAACTCCAGTCAAGGCCACAAAACCATATGAGAGAAATCGAGAAACGATCACTGAAAGGATACGTGCTGCCTCTCTGCGCGTACAGTCCGATGGCAATCCATCCACGAAAAGAGTGGAGGATGCGTCGTGAGGGAGGCCATCGCCGGTGTTGATGTTCAAGTTGGATCGAGCTCCGGCTAAGCAGGCAACGTCGTATCCCATCATCTGGGAAGTTTGCGTGATCAGCGACGAATCATCCAGCGCTGATAGCCCGGCCCCGAGAGCGCTCAAACTGGCAGCACCACTCACGCCGAGCCCGACTCCAGACAATCCCAAGTCCGAGGAAAGTCCCGCAAACGAAAGCTGCCGAAAAAACACGAAAGTTGTGTGTTTTGTTTTCTCCACATTGTGAAAGATCTACCCCGTTGCGCAAGAGATCCGAGGATGTTGTGAGTTGATCGCCTTCGCGGCCTCCCCAGCCACCTCGATCATCGTAAGTTCTCTCTGAGTGAAAGAAGAAGTTAACAAAGAAAGAGAAAGAACCAAAACAAATTTTACCGTAGTCTCGTCGGGGTCTCTTTGGCGAGGGCGATGGAGTCCTCCTGTCAGCAGTAGCGTAATTCCATCTAGCCCCAAAGTCAGCCATCCCTAGAGCAATGCCAATCAATCCCTCGCTTCTCTCGCTCTCTCTCGCGCGCGCGCTATGGATGAATCCGGGGTCCTCCAAATTCCTGGAGCATTCGGCAAGAAGATCACAAATTACTCTACCAGAGACCTCTGGATCGCGGAATTGGATGCTCTTACCATGGATCTGCAGCGCCACACCCCGATAGCGTCGCGTACAGCTCTCCCCTGTTTTCTCTCTTTTTTTTTCCCTTTCAGATATATGGGGTTAGGGCAAACCAGACATATAAAAGATCTGATGTGGCTATTCCGTTGGAGAATCAATCTTGGCCGTCCATCACATCCTATAAAAACTTAGAAAGATAGAAAAGAGGGCTTGCTATGGCGCTTCTCTTCCACGCTCCAGCGTTGTGTTCTTCGCTTCTCTTCCACGCGCCAACGTTGTGTTCTTCAATTCATCCCTTCAACAAAGCAACGAGAATAAGAATTCCAATGCAAATCTACACAACAAAGAATTCTAGAATGCTAAGAAATCCATCTATTGTGGCAGGAGCTACCAACAAGCCAGAATCCACAGGAGAAAAAGAAGACCAAGCAATCTCACCAGTAGGCCTAGAGAAATCCCTGGCCAAACTATTCCGAAGTAAGCTCTGGATCGCCGTGCTCTCGCTCTTTCTCACGGCCTTCATAGCCGGCTACCTTTACTTCTTTATCACGGGGAATGGAGCTGACGAAGTTCCCATCATGAAGTACCAGTACTACCAGTACACCAAATCAATCACGAAGTAGAATAAGCTCCGCTCGTTATTTCGTTCCTAGAAGAGAACTTCGTTGGTTTAGAAAGAACAGCAAGAGAAAAGAATGAAGAAATGCAATTACCTCTCCTCAAGCTGCTGCCGGAGCTGGAAGTGGTGATAGCGCTTTCAGTGGATTGGAAATGACACCGTCAATGAGGCCATACTCTTGAGCTTCCTTGGGACTCATGAAGAAATCCCGGTCGGTGTCTTGAATTATCCTTTCCAGTGGCTGCCCGGTGTGATAAGATAGATAGCTGTTCAAGTTCGCTTTGTGATGCAAGATTTCATTGGCCTGTCGTCATTTTGAATGTCAGTTACTCCATCCATGAATACGAACTCATCGCTTGTGTACCTGGATCTCAATGTCGGACTGCTGTCCTTGAGCGCCACCGAGCGGCTGGTGAATCATGATCCTAGAATTTGGTAAACTATAACGCTTTCCTGGAGTTTCAAAATGGCAGACGTGAGAAAAAAAAATCATGTAAGTGTGTAGAATACCTTTTGTGCCTGCACTAAGAAGAAAAGCACCCATACTACAAAACCATGAAAGAGATGAAATGTGTTTAGAAAACGAGTCACATAGGACTGAGAAGCAAACCTTGCAGCGAGACCAACACAGACAGTACTCACGTCCGGACGAATGTGCCTCATGGTGTCAAACACGGCCATTCCTGAGCAGAAAGAAAATAAATTGTTAGCTGACAACTCGATAGGGAAAAAAAAAAAAAACCATACCAGCGGTAACGGAACCTCCAGGTGAATTTACATACATGACAATATCCTACAAAATCAATCGAGCTTTAACCATCTTCTACATGTTATAACCCACAAACCTTCTTTGGATCCGCAGCATCCAGATAGAGAAGCTGCGCAACAATGAGATTTGCCATATCATCGTCAACAGCTCCACCGCATCGAATTATCCGCTGAAAGTATCAAGCAAGGAAAATTTACAAAACAGATCAAACGACAAACTTACGTGCTGGAAGAGCTGAGTGATAACACTCTGAAAGCGCTCTTGTAGCATGGGAGGTGGACCTTGGCCTTGCCCAGCAGCGTAAGCACCTCCCAGATATGCCGAGGGCGGCACCTCCAAATCTCTCCTGCGAAGAGAAAGAAAATTAAAAAAATCTCTCAATCGCTCCAGTAGAGTACCTAATCGACCACAATCCATCATGAATCGTTGCATCCGGGGACCAAAACCGCTCGCTAGAGAAACTACTGTGCTGCATTTTCGACGCCCTAGCTGTGCACGACAGCCGCTTCGATCTAAAACACGAGCAGCCAAAGCATGAGCAATCCAGCACAGAGCAATGCGCGCTTGCCTGCCCCGAAACCGCACGGGAAGAGCGGCGCTACCGCTGCCATGCCTGCCGCTCCGCTGCTGCTCGCATTGCGGCCCCTGGTGGAGAAGCTCCGGCGCGCTGGCGAGCGCCATAGCCATTTTCACAAGAACCCTAAAATACGCCGCCCTTGTTAAATTATCTGGAGATTCTATTCAAGAAGTCCAGTTGCTAATGGCGATGAGGACCTGTCGATTCCTCCGCAAGAGGATCCAATTCCCGCTGCGCCCCACGCTATACTCTCTCGCATTCGAGTACGTCGCTAGCATTTGCTTCGCTCCAGCATAGACATGGGGCTTGATCTTGTAGCCCTCGAACCCGGCCCCGCGCATCAGCTCGTGCCACTGCTTGTATCCCTCGGGCCTCTCCACGCGCTCGTCGCCCTCGCACGCCAACGTGTTGAGCAGCTCCAGCCCGCGGAGCTGCTCCAGGAACCTCCTCTCGCCCGCGAATCGCGACTCCCCCAGCGACGCGGCGATGTCTTCAAACATGCCGGCGTAGAACTCGAAGGCCTCTCGCGCGCGCGCCACCAGCGATGGCGAGTTGAATCCCACTGGAGGGAAGGCGGCGTTGAGGAAGAGCTTGGGCTCCATCGCGTGGATGTTCCTCAGGAACCTCCTCTTTGGATCGTCCGAGAGCTCGCGCAGCTTGTGGAACGAAGTCACGATCAGGACGTCGTCTGGCTGGATCATGAGCTGCGATGGTTCGATCGAGTCCCAGTCGGCCGTCACCACCGAGTGGAACTCGAATGGAACGCCGACGCTGCTGGCGTAGCGGCCGAGCTTGGCGCCCACATCCTCCCTGGGATAGAAGAGGGCGTTGCTTGGTCGATCCACCGCGGTGACGCGAAAGTGTGGCGGGCCGCAGGATCTTTCGGAGAAATCCTTGATCAGGCACAGCCACCGATAGCCCGGACCGATTCCAAAATCGACTACGTGCACGCGAGCCGCCGACGATGTCTCGTCCAGGATCGTCTGGTTCGTGAAGAAGATTGGCAGCCCAAAGCCCGGGATTCTCTCCGCGACTGTGGCGAACAACTGGAGGATCTCGTCGATGGGTCGCCTGGATTTGATGAGGCCATTGTAGAGCAGGCTCCCGGTGCCAGTGATTCGAGCCACGAGCGCTTCGGAGAAGTAGAAGGCTAGGCGCTCCACCGTGGTTCCTGTGGGAGAGGACTTGTCTCTCAGCCCGCTGACGAGCGCGTAGGCTTGGGTGGTGGCATCCGCGGCGATGGCTTCGCAGCACTTGACGATCGATGCTTTGAGATCTCTCATGAGCTTGGCTTCCTCAACCGCGACCAGATTGTCAGTTTGTTGATCGAGGACCAGATTGTCAGTTTGCTGATCGATTTGATGGTCACCGGCATCGTCTAGCTCTATGAAGGAATCAAAGAGGGATTGCGCGTACCCGTGATCCTGATTGTTAGAGTTGTCCGCCACAGGTTGGAACTCGCTCCAGTTGGATTGCAGATCATCGCCTTCCATCTAGACAGATCACCGTACTTATTCGCGGTACTTATAGCGCGACAAATGAAGGATCAATTCTCTTCCTAGCTTCTCAGTTCTTTCCTCACAGAAAAGTTTGAGGATTCCATGATGCTCGTGATCAGCAAATCAGACCAAAACTTGTGGTCCACAGTTTGAATCTTCGGGATTGCTCCAGGTTGCCGAGAGGTTCATCAAAGCTGTGGATGACTCGCAACTTAGAAATCCACAAATGGCTTACTTCGTGTCAATGGACAAGCAGGACTTACTCAAGCAAGCCGCTGCTTCCACGGAGACACCAACCCCAAACTTTAGAAAATTTACTTGAGAGCGACCATTTTGAAAAGATCCTACTCGCGGCGTTACGTGTGCATCTAAGACCTTGTCTTTGGACTCCCATCTATGAAAGCAAAAGAGAGAGAACTCACTTTCTCGCTTATGGCCTGTTGAATGACCAAAGTGTTGGAGGAAATGCTCAACACGGCAGTCTCTTTCCGTTGACCGGCCAAATGAAAGAGACGAAATTGACAAAAATTCCATGACTGGAAATTCGTAATTGATTTGCTTAAGCAAATCTGATTGATAGTGAATAATATTTCCAATATTTCCAATATTCTAATGTCGTGATTGGAGGATCAGTAAGATAAGTACCAAAGCATGAGCAATCTAGCCGCGCTACCGCTGCCATGCCGCCAGCTGCCGTTACATTGCTGCTGGCATCTCCGGTGAGCTTTAGTCAAATTCAACAAGTCCAGTTGCTAATAGCGATGAGGACCTGCCGATTCCTCCGCAAGAGGATCCAATTCCCGCTGCGCCCCACGCTATACTCTCTCGCATTCGAGTACGTCGCCAGCATTTTCTTCGCTCCAGCATAGACATGGCGCTTGATCTCGTAGCCCTCGAAACCGGCCCCGCGCATCAGCTCCTGCCACTGCTTGTATCCCTCGGGCCTCTCCACGCGCTCCTCGCCCTCGCACGCCAACGTGTTGAGCAGCTCCAGCCCGCGGAGCTGCTCCAGGAACCTCCTCTCGCCCGCAAATCGCGACTCCGCCAGCGACGCGGCGATGGCTTCAAACATGCCGGCGTAGAACTCGAAGGCCTCTCGCGCGCGCGCCACCAGCGATGGCGAGTTGAATCCCACCGGAGGAAAGGCGGCGTTGAGAAAGAGCTTGGGCTCCATCGCGTGGATGTTCCTCAGGAACCTCCTCTTTGGATCGTCCGAGAGCTCGCGCAGCTTGTGGAATGAAGTCACGATCAGGACGTCGTCCGGCTGGATCATGAGCTGCGATGGTCCGATCGAATCCCAGTCGGCAGTCACCACCGAGTGGAACTCGAATGGAACGCCGAGGCTGCTGGCGTAGCGGCCGAGCTTGGCGCCCACATCCTCCCTGGGATATAAGAGAGAGTTGCTTGGTCGATCCACTGCGGTGACGCGAAAGTGTGGCGGGCCGCCGGATCTCTCGGAGAAATCCTTGATCAGGCACAGCCACCGATAGCCCGGACCGATTCCAAAATCGACTACGTGCACGCGAGCCGCCGACGATGTCTCGTCCAGGATCGTCTGGTTCGTGAAGAAGATTGGCAGCCCAAAGCCCGGGGAGGTCTCCGCGACTGTGGCGAACAACTGGAGGATCTCGTCGATGGGTCGCTTGGATTTGATGAGGCCATTGTAGAGCAGGCTCCCGGTGCCAGTGCTTCGAGCCACGAGCGCCTCGGAGAAGTAGAAGGCTAGGCGCTCCACCGTGGTTCCTGTGGGAGAGGACTTGTCTCTCAGCTCGCTGACGAGCTCGTAGGCTTGGGTGGTGGCATTCGCGGCGATGGCTTCGCAGCACTTGACGATCGATGCTTTGAGATATCTCATGAGCTTGGCTTCCTCAGCCGCGACCAGATTGTCAGTTTGCTGATCGATTTGATGGTCACCGGCATCGTCTAGCTCTATGAAGGAGTCAAAGAGGGATTGCGCGTACCCGTGATCCTGATTGTTAGAGTTGTCCGCCATAGGGTTGGACTCGCTCCAGTTGGATTGCCGACCATCGCCTTCCATCTAGACAGATCACCGTACTTATTGACGGTACTTATAGCGCCACAAATGAAGGATCATTTGCTTCTCAGTTCTTTCCTCACAGAATAGTTTGAGGATTCCATGATGCTCGTGATCAGCAAATCAGACCAAAACTCTTGGTCCACAGCTGGAATGGAAAACTTTAAAAAATTTACTTGAGAGCGACCATTTTGAAAAGATCCTACTCGCAGCGTTACGTGTGCATCTAAGACCTTGTCTTTTGCAAACGATCCCATGATCTCAGTTTAACACTCTTTCCACTGACACTTGACAGCGAGATTGACAAAAATTCCTCTTTTCAATAATTGATTTGCTTAAGCAAATCTAGTGAATATTCCTTTAAAATATTTCCAATATTCTGAGGTATTTTATGGTTATTATTCATTTCTAATGTCGTAAGATCAGTAAGATAAGTACCAAAGCATGAGCAATCTAGCAAAGAGAAAGCTGCCCGGAACAGCCGCGCTACCGCTGCCATGCCGCCAGCTGACGTTACATTGCTGCTCGCATCTCCGGCGAGCTTTAGTCAAATTCAACAAGTCCAGTTGCTAATGGCGATGAGGACCTGCCCATTCCTCCGCAAGAGGATCCAATTCCCGCTGCGCCCCACGCTAAACTCTCTCGCACTCGAGTACGTCGCCAGCATTTGTTTTGCTCCAGCGTAGACATGGCGCTTGATCTCATAGCCCTGGAAGCCGGCCCCGCGCATCAGCTCGTGCCACTGCTTGTACCCCTCGGGCCTCTTCACGCGATCCTCGCCCTCGCACGCCACTGTGTTGAGGATCTCCAGCCCGCGGAGCTGCTCCAGGAACCTCCTCTCGCCCGCGAATCGTGACTCCGCCAGCGACGCGGCGATGGCTTCAAACACGCCCGCGTGGAAGTCGAAGGCCTCTCGCGCGCGCGCCACCAGCGATGGCGAGTTGAATCCCACTGGAGGGAAGGCGGCGTTGAGGAAGAGCTTGGGCTCCATCCCGTGGATGTTCCTCAGGAACCTCCTCTTCGAATCGTTCGAGAGCTCGCGCAGCTCGTGGAACGAGGTGACGATCAGGACCTCCTCCGGCTGGATCATCAGCTGCGAGGATTGGATCGAATCCCATTCGGCGGTCACGACCGAGTGGAACTCGAATGGAACGCCGAGGCTGCTGGCGTATCTCTCGAGCTTGCCACCCACATCTTCCCTGGGGAAAAAGAGGGAGTTGCTCGGTCGATCTACCGCGGTGACACGAAAGTGTGGCGGGCCGCCGGATCTCTCGGAGAAATCCTTGATCAGGCACAGCCACCGATAGCCCGGACCGATTCCAAAGTCGACTACGTGCACGCGGGCCGCCGACGATGTCTCGTCCAGGATCGTCTGGTTCGTGAAGAAGATTGGCAGCCCAAAGCCCGGGGAGGTCTGCGCGACTGTGGCGAAGATCTGGAGGGTCTCGTCGATGGTTCGCCTGGATTTGAAGGTATTATAGAGCAGCCTCCCGGTGCCAGTGATTCGAGCTATGAGTGCCTCGGAGAAGTAGAAGGCTAGGCGCTCCACTGTGGTTCCTGTGGAAGAGGACTTGTCCCTCAGCTCGCTGACGAGCGCGTAGGCTTGGGTGGTGGCATTCGCGGCGATGGCTTCGCAGCACTTGACGATCGATGCTTTGAGATCTGTCATGGGCTTGGCATCCTCGATCATATTGTCGGTTTGTTGATGATCGATACCGGCACCGCCTAGCTCTAGGAAGGAATCAAAGAGAGATTGTGCGTACCCGTGATCGCGATCGTGATTGTTAGAGCTGCCTTGGCATGGACGCGAACGTGGTGCTGGAGCTGGTCCTTGAACGACTTGAGCAACATCACGTAGTCTGCCAGTTGGGAGCTCCAGGAATTGGAATCCAGACCATCGCCTTCCATGATGATATATATTCGTTCTTCATGGATAGCAAAGAAAGAACTAAGAGTTTGATCCTCGAAACTTCGCTATAAGTATGTTGATTTTGTTCCTCAGATTGAGTCAACCTTGAACGCTCGTGAGAACTTTTGGTCCACTTTCGGATTATCACGAATGGACCAGCAAGCTGACACGAAACTTTCGGGAAAACCATTTCAAAGCAAAGTGTGTAACAATTGGGTATACATCTAATCTGTCCTTGTTGCCCATTTGTCGTTGAAAGGTACCATGGACATCAGTCTACAAACGATGTTTCCCATGCTGGATCTCAGTTCCAACGCAGCCCATAGTTCGAGAAGCACAGAGAAACACGGCACCTCTGCTTCGCAGGAAAGAGACGAGATGCCAAGACGATTCGCAGTCTTAACACTTGTGGAAACCAATCAGAAGTACTGCTCAGATTCTCGCAGGTCATTCTTCTCAAGTGACAAAGCACACGTCACTACCACGTCAGATCCACGTCGGTAGGAGAGCTTCTCTATTCTTTAGCTCCCCATCTTGCTCCTCAGCCGCTTCATGGACCGCCGCAAGCTCTTTTGCTTGTTGGCGACACCGCCCTCGTTCCCGGCCAGCATCAGGTACTTATCCTTCCTCGTCAAGTTCGTGCACTGGAATCCCAGCTTGTCGGCGATCCTCCTCTGGATCAAGTTCGCAACGTCGTGAGCCGAGTTCCCGGCCGCGCAAGTCATCTCCCACGGCAGCTGATCCAGGAACCACATCTCGTACTCGGGCCGGGGATTCATCAGGAAGTAGAGCGGGTCGAGCGCCTTCCAGCCGCGAGCGGTAGTGCCGTAGAAGAGCTGGACGCGGGCGTCCATGGCTACCGGGACGATCGCGTCGGACAGCTCCGCGAAGAGCGAGCTGAATCGCAGCAAGTATGGCTCGCGGCACGTCGTCCCCTCGGGACACACCACCAGATCCTTGCACTCGTCCAGGAGGATGTTGTGCATGCGCCGCGCGTCCTGGCTCCGGCAGCGCGTGAGCCGGACCGTTTTGATCGGGGCCAGGACCTCGGACACCCGGCTGATGCTGTACGTCACGGCCGACACCCTGCGCTGCACGCCGCCCGAGAGGAACACCGGGTCCAGCAGCGTGCGGTGCGAGCAGACGAAGAGCGTGCCGCCACCTTTGTTGGTACTGCTGCTGGTGGGCGGTGTGCCGTTGACGCGGATACGGACGCCGAGCAAGGCGCAGACGAGGACGACGATGCGGGTGTCGTTGATGAGAAGCGGGACCGAGCCGCGGAGGAATGCGAGAGGGATGCCGACTGGCGACCAGAGGAGGAGCGTGAGAGCTTTCGCTGGAGTCGGGCGGCACGCGATTCTACCGTCGTGGAATATAAGCGGCTTTGGGTACTCGTCGCGCGGTACAGTCGGGGCATTGGAGCTGTTTAGAACGACGAAGGCTTCCTGGGAGAAAAAAAACAAAGTGTCTGTTAGCAAGAGCAAGACAAGAAACACGAAAAGAAAAAAAACTTGACCTTGCACAGTGCCATGTATGGAAAATCCGTGCTCTTGCAGCCCAATGCCAGGTCCGGTAGTCTGTCTCGCAGGTACTTCCTCACAGCAAAGGCCTTGTTTCCCCCTTCCAGAACTCCCGGGCTCTGGAGAAATCCCGTGCAAAAGCCTCCTCGAGCAACGTGAACTTCGGTCCCCAGCACCACGTCCACTCCCAGGTAGTGCTTGAGGAAATGCTCCACCATCACTCTAGGCGACGCCGTGATCACGTACTTGGTGCCGCAAGCCGTGAAGACCCGAAAGGCGTGGAGGTGCATATCTTCCAGGTAGAACTTCGGGAGCACGGCCACCGCAACTCGCTCGATCACCGACACCTTGATGCCGATGAAGGAGATGAAAGTCATTATCTGAATCGCTGTCGCTTGGGATGCTAGAAGCCATATTGCCGGATACGCGAAGAGGAGAATAGCTGCTCGGAGGACGCTTCCGGCCTCAAAAGCCACCAGGAGGAAATATGGGAAATAGCTGGCTGACCTGAGGAGAGTGCCTTCCAAATCTGAAACCACCAAGTCGTCACTCCTGTCAAGGAAGTCGCAGCTCTCTACTGGCTCGAATGGAACAGGAGTTTGCCTGACGTTCTTGAGAAACTCCCACAGCTTCACCACCATAGATGTTTTCTTCTTCTTCTTCTCACCCATGGCTCCTCGGCTGTTGTGCTTCGTCCACCCAGAGGAGAGAGCAAGAAGCACATGAGGCAGCCTACGGCCAGAGTGGTAGCTTCTCCGCCAGCATTAATGTAGCAGGTCTGCAGTGAATGCGTACCTGCGTAAAAGTCGTCAAGTGTAATTCAACAAACCTCAAGTGAAAACCACAAAGAAAACCTCATCACTGGCTGCGGTTTGCATTTGTTTCGGGGATTAGACAACGTAACTTCTGCACCAAACATGGTCAGAAAGAAAGCGTTGCTTTGGATACTTACCGTTTACACGGAGAGTTAAAAAGGAAAATAGTCTGATGAAGCTGAGTACAAAAAAGCTTCTTAAGAAATCGACACAAAGATTTAGTTCACTTCATCTAGTTTGCCACACCTGTGCAAGGATCCAAAAACTCCTTTTTGGATTTTAGCACAAAGCAGAAAGAAACCACGACTAAATCCGCTGCATTCACGAAGATCGAGTGGTGAGACAAGAAAAAAGATTCCGATAACATCGACTAACTCACTCTTATGACAGTTGGCTGGGAAAACCTATCGTCGGGATGCCTATGGTACTCGTCGCTTCCATGCTTGAAAAGAGCCTGGAGCGTCCGCACTGTGAATGGCCGGATGATGTTCACCTCCATAGCCGAGAGGTTTGTAAGCTGCAAAAAAGAGGCCGTCATAGCTGTTGAGTGTGTGTGCTTCACGAAGCTCACCTTCACAGCAAATGTTTTGTTGGAGAGCTTCTCGAGTCCAGCCTCAATCTTATGGAACCTCACATTGCGTATGTCTTCAATCAATGACCTCACCTGAAAGAATAATCAGACTTCGCGAACAAGCAGCAAATCTTCTTCGAGCTCGTACCAAGTAACAGTCGGGTATATCATCTTGCGCACTAGAACGATCAAAAACATATATCAGCCACCATCAGGAAGAAAGAAATGGAGCTTACTGATCAAACAACAATCTAGATATCTCAATGTAGTGAAATGGTAGAGGTCGGAATTCCTGTGGCTGTTGACGCTCTTCCTCCAGCACTTCCGTGAGCCTCTCTGTTCACCTTTGTTAAGAACACACAGCGAAAGAAAACTCTTCGATAGATCGAAAGAATCGATCAAAGTACCTACGGTCATCCACTCCGGAGCCTGGATCCGGCATTTCCCTCGCTTCTTGAGAGCAATTGCGAGCCACAAAGGCACTATAGCAGAGATTTGCGGGCGAAAGGGACCAAAATCTCCCTGGACGGCACAAGAATGAGAAGAAATGGCAATGCTGGTAGCAAAACACTCACGGAAATCAAATGCAAGGGATCCATTCTCAAGCTGGGAATGATGCCGATCGTCTCGTCCTCCGCGAGAAACTCCACCTGGAGCGCAGCGAGATTGAATCGCGATAGAGCCGGAAAGATTGCTACAGACCTCCGCCGCGGAGAATGTGGCCGGAGGCGCATAGTTGGATTGTCCCGCCATAAACCCTATCAAGATTTTAGGGTTTCCATAGCTACGTTTCTTTGAGGAAGAGCGATCGCAATCCATCGACCGGCGATCGCGATCGCGATTCTAGGCGCGGATCACTCGATTCTTGACCAGCATTCCCGTTGCTGAGAGAGGTGTAGAGATTCGCGAGCAAGAGGTAGAGCGCCGATCCTCGATCAAGATCCATCTCGAGCAGCTGTTTGGCGATCCGTCCGCCACGCTCGGTATCGCCGTGCAAGCTGCAAGCTCCAAGAACGGCAGTCCACGACACCTCGTCCCCCTCGAACGGCATCTCGTTCACTAGATCTTCCATCCGGTCCAGCTGCCCCGAGCGCCCCAGGAGATCCACCAGGCAGCGATAGTGCTCCACGACGGGATCGATGGAATTGTCGCCAATCATCCGGAGGAAGTAGCAGCGCGCGTCTTCCAGGAGGCCGCCATGGCTGCAAGCCGCCAGCACCGTGGAGAAGGTGAGCCAGTTCGGCTGCTCTCCCTGGAGATCCATGCAGTTAAACATCTCGGCCGCCAGGGATCGCTCGCCGCTCTGGGCATAGGCGACGATGATGTTCGTCCAGGAGACCACGTTTGGTAGTGGGAGGTTGTCGAAGAGAGCTCGAGCTTGATCGAGGCGGCCACACTTTCCAAACATGCTCACCAGCGCTGTGCCAACGAAGGTGTCTCGATCGAGGCCTCGACCAGCAGCGCCTTCGAAGATGGTTTTTCCTTCGGCCAGAGCGGTGGAGCTAGCGCAGGCCTCGAGAGCGCTCATCAAGGTGATCCTGTCCGGCTCGATCCCTTCGAGGTCCATGAGCTTGAAGTACGCTAGCGCTTGCTTGGAGTGCCCGGCTCGAGCATGCCCGGAGATGAGAGCGGTCCACGAGGTAGCGTCTTTCACTGGCATTTCTTCGTGGAGTTTGGTTGCCAACTCGATGTTTCCTTTGACAGCGTAGGCGAGAACCATGGTGCTCCACGCGAGATAGTCTCTCGCAGGCATCAGAGCAAAGAGGTTCTCGGCGGAGGTGAAGTGGCCGTTGTTCAAGTAGGCGGCCAGCATTGTCGTCCACGAGACAACGTCGTGATCCACCATCTCGTCGAAGACGAGCTTGGCTTGGCGAGTCCGGCCCTCCTGCGCGTACGCGTTCACCATGCTCGTCCCGGCGATGCTGTTCTTCTCGGCGATCATGTCGAAGACCAGCTTCGCGTCGTCCAAGCTCCCGCACTTTGTGAACATGTTGACGAAGCCGTTGCCGACGAGAACATCCAGCGTTTCATCGCTCTGGGTGACGCACTGGAAGAGAGCTCGGCCCTCCGTCGGGTCTCCGATGCTCGAGCACGCCTCAGCAACGCAGGTGAAGGTGATCTTGTTGGGCCGAGTGCCGTCGAGCTTTAGCAGCCGGAAAAGATGGAGGGCGGCTGCGAACTCCCCGTTCCCGACGTACGCAGTGATCATGGCGTTCCACGACTCGACTGTCCTCTCCGTCATCCGATCGAAGACCGACTTCGCCTCTGGAAGCTGCCGGTTTTGCGAGTAGGCCGTGAGAATATTGTTCCAGCAGATGGAGGTCAGCTCCTCGCTCGGGATGGAATCAAACATCTCCTTCGCCTCGGCCAAGTTCCCGCTCTGGGCGTATGCGGTGAGCAAGATGTTCCTCGAGAACACGTCCTTGACAGGTAAGCTGTCAAACAGGCATTTTGCTTCGCTCACGCATTGCTTCTGGGCGTAACAGGAGATCATTGTGTTCCAAGTCACCGCGCTCTTCTCCGGAAGCTTGTCAAACACCATCCTAGCCTCCTCCAGATGCCCATTCCGGGAACAAGCAACGATGAGAAAATTCCAAGTGTATGGATTCCTCTCGGGCATCCGCTCAAAGGCAAGCTTGGCCTCCTGGATCCCGCCGAGGTTGCCATACATCTGGATGAGCACGTTTGTGAGGTACCTGTGGCCGTCAAATCCAGCTTCGACGAGCTTGCCGTGAACGCTCCGGACTTCGTGTAAGTGGCGGCATTTGCGTATGAGCGCCGCATATCTGTTCTCAACCTCTCTTTGGGCTTCTGCAGAATCAACGCTGTGGGTGGTCGAACAAGCCAAGGAAGAAAACGAGCGATCTTTCCAGACCCTGACTCGCAACGAGCGCATACAATAGAACTTAGGTTTCCTCCTTTTTTGCACCTTTGGAGTAACAGATTTGTGCTGATAAAAACACCATGTTTCCAGTGATGTTTGTGATATAGGTTGAGGTCCACTTTATTGCTATTCCAGGTACTATCTTCTTTCTTGCATGTTACGAAATTCCTTCTGGGTTTATGTAAGATGTTATAGCAGCTGCTGAGGAACAAGGCTCCTGGGACAATCTTGCCTTGCTGGTCGTTGCCAAGGTATGGATTCAGTGATATGAACTCCATCCCAAAGAAGGTTTTGCAGGCTGCCATGATTTGCTGTTCTACACGCCTTCATCTTCATTGGGAACTTTAATTATAAAATGCTACATTGTTTAAGGTACAGTTTTTCTAAAGATTTAAAAAAAAAATTATAGAAGTTTTTCTAGTTTATTTTTGAGTTACTTTGTTATAATTTAATTTATGCTGCTTAATTAGTAAATTTATTACACTTCAATTTACTAGTTAGTTCTCAAAATATATTTCTTTTTGCGATTGAATGGAATTGAAAAAGAATACAGGAAATGTGTATATCAATTAACCCAAAAACTGTAACTTATATATAAGAACGAATGGATTGAATTAAAATCAATCTGATAGCTATTAAAATCCTACTATATCAATATTAGTATTGACATTATAACTGTACATTTTAGACCTTATATCATCCCCTTCTCTCAGAATGATAAAAGACTATCAAGGTTCTCTCATGGATGGGCCAAGATTTGAAGAAACATCAGGAGGAAACATCAATGGATCTGTAAATGGTGCTAATTGTTTCTGATCCCTTTGTACAAAATGTTTCAACTACTACACATACACAATTTCTGGAGGATCAACTTGCTAAATGTCATGCCAAACTTCATAAATTTGCAATCCAACGTGCCACAACACTTAATATGGACCTTTCCACTAAGCAATGTAAATAAACTACGTATTATAAGATAAGGAAAACGAATTAACATCAAGTCATCCACTTTGTACTTTGTAGGTAGTACATAGCTTAAGTGTTCAATAGACTTTGCTTGGAAAAATGCTTGTCAAATATTGATCCTACGACCTAGCATTGGCAATCTGTCACAATTGCAAAGGTGAACCCAACTCCATTAGTAGCATTGGATTATGACCATATAGGAGTTTATATGGTGAAACACTAAAAGAACTTTACACTCCTGTGACATACACATATTGAAAAGACGGCAAATAACCATCTCAATCCGAATGTTAAAAGTTCATGTATTTCACAATCATCCCTTTGAATGTCAGAACAAATTGTCTGACTGTGGATGATAAGCACTCATAAAAGTGTGGTGTATCCCCAACCGAGATGTCAAAACGTGAAATGCCTTAGCCATAAATGTGGAACCATTATCTGAAAGAATCCACTCCGAACAGGAATGCTAGAACACCACTCAATTAACAAGGAAGTATCCAATAACAATTGCAAATGTGCTAGCAAAAACACCAACTTTCACCTAGCGAGTTAAGTAGTTAAAAGCAATAATGATATACTTATTGCTAGTAGTCGATTATGGAAAAAGTTATATCAAATCAAACACCACCAACTCAAATAAAAACTCTATTTCGTTAAAGTGGGAATTGTCATTATCCCACTTGTAAAATAAGGTTTCCAAACCTTTATATAGTATATAAATATAACAAAATTCAACTGCATTGAGGCACATGCCATTTTATTTTAAACAAGGAAATGTCTACTCAATCACTTCTCCTCCCTCTGCCACTGCTTCACCTCTCTCTTCTCCTTGTCATTGTCGTCCAATTTCTTTCCATCCTTTTAATATTGGCTCAGTTGCTCCGAGTCTAGGTGGAGCCCAAGTCCCCATTCAATCTTTACTTTCCCCTTATTAATAAAACAACTTCGTAGACTTCCAATAACGTGCTGTAACACTTCTAGTATAATGCAAATCCTCTCAAAGAATTGTCTTTTAATATTAATACAATGGCATGGAACCCCATGCCATAATAAGTTACATTTTTAAATAAATACATGTCATCTCAGATTGTTATTTTTTGCCTCCAACGCCTATACAATAATCTTGGAATTTCATCACTCTCCACACTATCAGGATTTAAACCCAATAGTAATGCCATCTCTTCTCTAATACGTCCACGCTCATGTTCAGTGGCCGAAGAACCCATCCGGTTGAGTAGATTATGGAGATGCGGATAGTGCTTGGCTAGACAATATACATGCCATAAATGATGACTGGTGTCTGTCCGATCAAATGGCTTCTGATATACCGTTCCATCTGCCATTTGGTTGATTTCTGCAGCCACCTCCTAGACTGGCTGGTTCTCTATCACCATCGCTCCAAGCCGTTTTGCAAGGTCCCCCAGAACATATGGCTTCTTCTCCCTAGTTTCCATACTGCAAGAGATGGGGTGCACTGCATATGTGTGCGTGTTCGCTGCAGTTTTAATCGGCGAGTCATCGATGATGAGGATTTCACTTGACCTAGCAGTCCGGTTCATCACTACAGCCTCTGGCTTGACGAAGATGGGTTTGCTACCCCTCACATAGACCATAGTCAAGCAATCCTCCTGCGTTAGGAGAAAGTCAAATGGTAATATTACTCGCGTCTGATCGTGCATCATCTGTAGCAACGTTAATGCATTGTGGCGCATCATGGATGTCCAAACTCCCAATTGCAAATTGAACCCGGCCCTCTGTTTTAAATGTCGCATGGTCATTATTAGATCCCGCAGTTTCTCCCGTGTGATTAATGTGAATCTGTCTCTTTTGACCAACTTGCGACCGCAGGCTTTGGAGGGTGCAGTGACATTCGAGGACGAGCCACGCTCATGGGAGAAAAGGACACCGTTCAGATCAAAAACGATACAGTACCTTCGCCGTGACTCTGAAATGAAATGTGTCAGCATAAAAAATGGTACAAGTCAATTTTACCATCTACAATATTAGCGAATGGTGCTCCCGATGGTCGTTGAGAGGGTTTTGGTCGAGGAAACGTGAAGGGCGGAAATACTCTCCTCTGCAATGTGGGGTCAATCACATCCGATGGCGTGTGGGCACATGCCATTTCAGCTGTAGACTCTGGTACAACTGGCTCAACAGTGGCATGGGGTGGTTCCGATGGCGTGTGATCACACGCCATTTCAGCTGGTGCCTCCGTTGGCAAAGTGGACATGACCGAACAGGCAGCAGGGGCGGTGTAGGGAGGTTCTAACGGCGCGTAGTCAGACGATTGGGCACACGTTGGAAATGAGGATACGACCGGCTCGGCGGCTGGGGCGGCCTCATGCGGGTCCAATGGCGCCTGGTCACCGTCAGTTGGATACGTGGACAAGATTGACTCAGTGGTATGGGCAGCATCAAGTGGAGCGTGGTCAGCTTGCTTGGCGTTGATATAAATAGTAGCCTCCACCAGCTCTGATGACTCTTGCAGGCAAGTAGAGTCCACTGGCGGATCCATATGCATGTCCAAATATCTCCCTTCGATTGAGATGGTATCCTCCCTACTGGCTACTAAAAACAAACTCATTAGCACATTGAATCGACTATACTGTATTTACCATCAACTGCTATTGAGGAACTAGGACTGATATCACTTGGGTGCACTGCTGATTCTGAAGGATTGGACATACGTTTCGACCTTTGCTTGGCACTATCCTTCCTCGACACTAAAGGCTAGAGTTTGTATCTTAATTCAACTGAATAATCTCTACTTACCATTTGCTTTGCAACCTACATGGACAATGTTAGAAATGGTAAAAGGTTAGGAATGGATGTATTATTATTTACTTGATGGTTTGTCTTGTATGACCTTCCTCCGCTGCTCTTTGGCCACCTCAGGCTGGCCATCGTCGTTATCATCGTCATCGTCGTTATTGTGATCGTCACCATTGTGAGGACCATCCAAGTCCTCTTCGTCCTCCTCTTCTTCGTCCTCCTCTTCTTTGTCCTCCTCTTCGTCCTTCTGCTCTTCCTGCTCATTATCTTTCTCTGGCTCCTCATCCCCCTCCTGCATTTCTTCCATAGGCTGCTCAGGCTGGATGGCTTGTTCTTCCAGGACCATCTTGGGAAAATCATCTGGCCGAGTCTCCATCTCAAAATACAAGACATCCATAGCCTGTTTTAGTGCGTGACCTAAGACCGTATCCTCACCCGACTGTCTTAACATGGTTTCTGCACGTTCTTGCACCCTTCGAAGACGACGAAATGAGAAAAATGTGGCCCTGACTTGAAAAGCATCCCTCATCCATTGTACCTCTCCATTGAGATTGGGGAAGGGGAGTCCGCCATAGGAATCTGAGTCAGGAGGTGGTGACCGCGAGGCATTACCTATCATCTTTTCGTTGCCCTTCTTCCTTTTCAAATCAAATGCCTCTGATCCCGACGACTGTCCAACGTGCTTTCGCTTTTTATGACCACTGTCAGTTTGAGCTTGGCTGGTGCTTGCCTGTTTTGCCTTTGAAGAAGTGTCTTCTGCAAGGAATGGCATGAGACCACACGCCATTGCAAATATAATTTGTACCTCCTTTTTTCCTATTGCTTGTCTGTTTGTCCTTCTTCGACGCGCCACCAGTGCGCTTTTCAGTCCTCGTGTCTGAATATTCACAACGATCTATAATCAAAATGGCGTGAGGCCTCACGTGACCTTACCTTGTGCAGGTTGTGAGCTCGGCCTAACATGGGTATCTTCAACAGTAGCTGTTAACGCCGTTTCAGCATCTGGGGGTGGCCACGCTCCTGCATACAGAGCTTGTGAGATAACATTTAAACTTAAAGTGCGTACTCACCAGGTTCGCAGAGAAGATACTGTTTTTCTTTGGCAACTGTAATTATATGCTCCATTGAAGTCACCTCTTCAATGGAGTTTGTCACCGCAACACACGGGACACTCTTGAGTAGTGCGGCTCGAAAGAATAGTCCGCCGCAGTTGTACTCGACAACGCATTTGCCCTTGGAGTCACCCACTATTGCGTTGAAGACCCAGCTGA